GAGAGAGAGAGAGAGAGAGAGAGAGAGAGAGAGAGAGAGAGAGAGAGAGAGAGAGAGAGAGAGAGAGAGAGAGAGAGAGAGAGAGAGAGTAATAACGGTGCATTGTGTCATCGAGCCATTATATAATCTCTCTCTAAGCCCCTGAGTAAATGCCTTATGTAACTTTCCTCATCCGCTGGGACGTATGCTGATTGTGATGAGCGCTTTGTTGGGCCATTAGCTCAGTTGATATCATGCTGGACTATCGTACGGATGGTCCTGGTTCGAATCTTTGTTTTAGTAGAGGTTTTACGGCCAGAAGATTAGAGGTGTTACAAGAGAATAACTCACATAAAAAAGAAGGAGGGGAGATAGGACGATAGACCAGAGCACCCGCCAACCACCCATTTGTATCTTTATGAGGAGGTCTTGAACTAATAATTTTATTGTTTTGGAGAGTTTTCAAGGTTGCCCATCCATTTTAAAATAATTAACGAGGTACTATTAGAGATGGATGTTAAATTCAGAGGTACCGTCTGTTTAATAACATGACAATACTCTAGGTCTTGGATCATCATCATCATCATCATCATCATCATCATCATCATCATCATCATCATCATCACCATCATCATCATCATCATCATCATCATTGTCGTCGTCGTCGTCGCTGTCATCCCATACCGGAGCATAGGCCACTTACAAAAGCTCTCCATGTACATCTGTCCTGGGCTACAGGCTATAGTCTCCCCCCTCTTTATCCCACTGTATCCCACTTCCTTTAGGAGGTCCGAATCCAAATCCCTCCCCCATGTACTTTTAGGCCTTCCTTTCTTTTTTCTTTCCTTGTGGACTTCATCTTAGGGCTTAGTGGGTATTTTTAAGGTATGTACAGCCCTCTTGCATTTTCTCTTTCTGATTTTTATATTTGATCTATTTTCTGTTGATCTTTTTTAGGTCCCAATCTAAGTCTCTCCCCCATGTACTTTTAGACCGTCTTTCATTTCTTTTTCACTTCTCGGCCTTCTGGCTAAGATCAAAGTGTTGTATCTGTTATTATCAGCCTTCTTTTTTTTCTAAGATTAGCAGCGGATGTCTAAAACAAAATAAGTGTTTTGTATGGGGGAGATTTCCCAAGGTAAGGACGCCGGATTGATCAGCGATCAGAGTATTGGGATTCCAACAACAACAAAAAGTTTGTTCACATCAGCGCCCGGGGTTGGGGGGGGGGTGTAGATAATAAAAATTGGACAGGAATTAATTTTGTTAAACTAACAACAAATACTAGCTATAGAGGCACAATAAGGGATGAGGCCATAACCCAAGGTCTGGATTAAAATTTGCTGATTTTGGAGGACGTGGCCAGGGATAGACAAGCGTGGCGTCGACTACTCTCCACCTTATGTATTTGTGTACCTGGCGGTAGAGGGAGAGATGAAGTAACAACAAATACTTGGTGAGCGACACATTTCCCCATACGGTGGATATTAGTTTGACGAAAAGTCCAATATAAATAACAATTACTCTTCGTCAAATACCCCTGGGTGTGGCGGTAGAGTGTGGGTATCAGACACATCTTGACAGAATGTCAAGACTTTGGGGAGACCTGAAGGAAATATTTTAGATGATCTGTTCTCCATCGTTGATCCCAACAGAATTCTCGATTGCGTAAAGCCGTTGGCCTTTACCCCCCACCCCCACCCCCCCCCAAAAAAAAAAAGTAATATTGGCTACTGCTATTTTGATATTCTATAAATTTTCATTTTCAGATTGAGATTTTTACAATGCAGTTTTAAAAAAAAGGGGGGGGGGGGTACACCGAATTTGGGTTGCAGGCATTTTTAGCTTCCCCAGCCTCTCCTACAACTATTTCATAGCATAAGAACCTCCAAAAACCGTATTTTTTTCGCTACCGGGCATGTTTATCACCACCATTTCCTCATAAAGTCAATACATTTTTCTTTTTCTTTACCGGCCGTTTTCTCAAAACGCGTCTTTTCTCTATACTTTTTAAAATAACTCCACCATTTTTCAACCAATCTTCATGTAATTTTCACAGAATGAAGAGAAGATGCAATACTAAATAGTTTTCTGTTGGTGGTGTCTTGAGTGTGAATTTTCACGGATTTTTTGCAAACTTGAATGGTACCTCAGAAAAAAATTCATAAAATAAAAAAAAAATTCGTTTAGAAAAAAAAAACAACAGCAAATTTTTTAAATTTAATGTTTGTTAACACGCATGAAAAAAAACCCAATCAATTTCCACAAGCACTAAGTGCGGTATTTATTACTTAAGACATGTCAATAAAATCAATATGGCCGCCGTATCCATGGAAACGAAATTTTTTTCTCAAATTTGATAGTGGTTTTTAAGACTCCTTACAATGCTTGTTATATGTGTGAAATTTGGTAACATTCGGTGTAGTAATAAGCGAGCTAGCCTTCAGGTGTAGCCCCCCCCCCCCCCCCCCTTAAACATTTTCATCTGATCATTGACCAAAAATGAAGCAACACTAAGAACAGTTCTGTCGTGAATGCAACCAACTTGTGTTGCGCGCGCTCATTCGACCTGGTGCCGTGGCAAGCGGTGTAAAACTCTTACTTAACTAGAGTGATTTGGTTTTAGTAGAGCTTTTACGGCGCTCGCAACTGCATAAGGTCATATGAACGCCA